TGACTAGCCTGAGTGATCTCTGCGGCTGAATGTCAGTCGGCGGTCTGTAGGACCCCACCCTGTGTGATCCCCCTACTCCACCCCCTCTCTCAGCATACGGGTGTCTGAGTGGGAGGCCCTGCAGGAGCACGGGAGGGTGGGGTAGTCAGGTAGGCTTCTTCCCGCCTTTTTCTTCCCTCCCCTCCTACCCCCTGCCTTGCTACCCCTACCCCTCCCGCCTTCCGTCCTCCACCCGACGACGGCATGTTCGCGCTGCCCTGGACGGGAGACATGGCGAGAAGCTCCTCCAGCCCCTGCCGCGCTCGCAGCAAGAGACCGAGGGTCGAGGCCTCCGCAGGAGGAGGAGGAGCCCTCAAGGCATGGCCGCCTGCCGACACTGAGGAGGGAGAGGAAGGCAGGATACGGGAGGAAGCCGAGAGGGGGTCATGCAAGGAGAAGCGCAAAGAAGAGAAGAGCCAGGAGAGAGGGGAAGGCAGCGTCTGCCCCCACGGCCGTGTACGATCTCGATGCAAGGAGTGCGGGGGAGGCAGCTTCTGCCTCCACGGCCGGAGGCGATCTACATGCAAGGAGTGTGGGGGAGGCAGCATCTGTCCCCACGGCCGTATACGATCTGAATGCAAGGAGTGCGGGGGAGCCAGCATCTGCCCCCACGGCCGGAGGCGATCTCGATGCAAGGAGTGCGGGGGAGGCAGCTTCTGCCCCCACGGCCGCGTACGATCTCAATGCAAGGAGTGCGGGGGAGGCAGCATCTGCCCCCACGGCCGGAGGCGATCTCGATGCAAGGAGTGCGGGGGAGCAAGCATCTGCCCCCACGGCCGCATACGATCTCGATGCAAGGAGTGCGGGGGAGCCAGCATCTGCCCCCACGGCCGTCAGCGATCTGAATGCAAGGAGTGCGGGGGAGGCAGCGTCTGCCTCCACGGCCGCATACGATCTCGATGCAAGGAGTGCGGGGGAGGCAGCATCTGCCCCCACGGCCGTCAGCGATCTCGATGCAAGGAGTGCGGGGGAGGCAGCATCTGCCTCCACGGCCGGAGGCGATCTGAATGCAGGGAGTGCGGGGGAGCCAGCATCTGCCTTCACGGCCGTCAGCGATCTGGATGCAAGGAGTGCGGGGGAGCCAGCATCTGCCCCCACGGCCGCAGGCGATCTACATGCAAGGAGTGCGGGGGAGGCAGCATCTGCCCCCACGGCCGTATACGATCTGAATGCAAGGAGTGCGGGGGGGCCAGCATCTGCCCCCACGCCCGTGTACGATCTCGATGCAAGGAGTGCGGGGGAGGCAGCATCTGCCCCCACGTCCGTCAGCGATCTGAATGCAAGGAGTGCGGGGGAGCCAGCATCTGCCCCCACGGCCGCATCTGCCCCCACGGCTGTCAGAAAGCTGGATGCAAGGAGTGCGGGGGAGGCAGCTTTTGCCCCCACGGCCGCAGGCGCTCTGAATGCAAGGAGTGCGGGGGAGGCCGCTTCTGCCCCCACGGCCGGAGGCGATCTACATGCAAGGAGTGCGGGGGAGCCAGCATCTGCCCCCACGGCCGTCAGCGATCTGAATGCAAGGAGTGCGGGGGAGCCAGCATCTGCCCCCACGGCCGGAGGCGATCTACATGCAGGGAGTGCGGGGGAGGCAGCATCTGCCCCCACGGCCGCATACGATCTCGATGCAAGGAGTGCGGGGGAGGCAGCATCTGCCCCCACGGCCGCAGACGATCTCAATGCAAGGAGTGCGGGGGAGGCAGCATCTGCCCCCACGCCCGTATACTATCTCGATGCAAGGAGTGCGGGGGAGCCAGCGTCTGCCCCCACGGCCGCATACTATCTCGATGCAAGGAGTGCGGGGGAGGCAGCTTCTGCCCCCACGGCCGTAGACGAGGTACATGCAAGGAGTGCGGGGGAGCCAGCGTCTGCCCCCACGCCCGGAGGCGATCTACATGCAAGGAGTGCGGGGGATCCAGCATCTGCCCCCACGGCCGTATACGATATGGATGCAAGGAGTGCGGGGGAGGCAGCGTCTGCGTCCACGGCCGCAGACGATCTCAATGCAAGGAGTGTATCGCTGTGTCTGCGCTAGTATCTGGCGCGTGTGCGCAATGATCTGTCATGTACGTACAGGCTCTCACAACCCGGGCTCTTTAGACGGATCACTTGGCTGCAACTGGTCAGGTCTGCTGTCCTCACGCTCGTGGTAGGAGGTCGCACCACGAGGGCAGGTCAACATTCTTACCATCTTCCAGACCAAGTATCAAGAGGATCATCGGAGGAGCTTCGATGGTGAACCATCCGTGTTGTGGTACACCGGACCTTGGCTTACACCGCACTCCTAGAGTCCACGTGACAGAAGGAGACCTCCATGATCTGACGAGCAGCAGTAGCCTGCCCTGCTTGATACGGTCTAGTAAAAGCAAGTCCTGATTGATCTATCTTGTTTCTCCAAGGATGCGCGTGCAACATCACTCTCCGCTTCACCAGAGGCTCCTCTTGCTGCTGCTGCCCTTTGCGCGGTGTGTGCGACAGGCTCTCTTTCCTTTTCTCTTGTCTCTCTGTCTCTCTGCCTCTCTGCCTCATTGTCTGTGCTTCTTGTTGTCATGATGATGACGACGACGACGACGACGACGATGGTGGTGGTGGTGGTGGTGGTGGTGGTGGTGGTGGTGGTGGTGTTCAAAGGTCAAGAGAGGGTGGGGTAGTCGGGTAGAGGAGATCCACAAACTTCCTTCTTCCCGTCTTTTTGCACAAGTCCAACCCCAGCGACTCTGAAATGGGGGGAGCGAGTTCATCGCTGAGGCTGGTAGGCGCGCTGCCATCGGACACATTGAAGTAGGCTGGTGAGAAAATCAAATCCATCAACTTCTTTCCCTCACTTCTCACTTTGTCTCTGCCCGACTTTTCCTCGTTCTTTCCCCTCATGGCGCCTGAGTAGCAGCAACTCGTCTCTCTCCTCCCTTGTGGCAGGGAACGGCCGCCTGCTCCTGCTGTCGTCCAACCTCCTACGAGCTGGTGAGATGTCAAGTCACAGAGCCCCCCGGGGATGACAGTCTGTACAGTCGAGACAACTTCGATCATCTTCCACGATCTGCTCAAGACAAGCGAGTCCAAGGTAACGAGGAGCTTCTATTTCAGTCGCCCCTCCTCACCTCCCTCGCAGATCTTTCTTGTCTCAGAGCTCCAGGAGATCAGCAGGTTCTTGCATTCGTTCCCTCTCCCCCTCCGCCTCCTCCTCTATCTCCCCTTCCTCCCCTGCCCTCTCCCCCTCCTCCTCTCTCGGGTATCTGCTATCTCAATGTTGTTTTCCCGCTCTCCTCCTCTCCTCTTCCTCCTCTCTTCCCCCTCTCATCCCTGCGTCTGCAGGAACATGGATGCCATGTCGCTCTGTCTCCCGCACGAGGCTCCTCCTATCGTCCGCATCTCCGCCAGGGGGAAGGAGCTGCCAGCCAGCAAGCTCGACGCGACCCACAACAGGGGCAACAAGGGGATATGGCAGGACCCGCACCAGCGCATCGCCAGCTTCGCAGACCTCTGCTTCAGCAGCTCGTTAAGTCCCAGCCCCCCCGACGCGATCGTCGTTGGAGGACACTCTGCATGGTTCAAGACATTCTTCTCCAAGTACCTGGGCAGCAGCACCCAGCATGCCTGCACCAGGCAGAAGTTGTGCAATGCCGGCGTCGTCGCCTTCAAGCTGCAACGCGGGGAGATTGGAGGACGAGTCCTCTACCGCGTGAGGCCGGAAAGCATCCAGGTTGTGCACGGACACTTTGGCAGCAAGTACAAGGACGAGGAGGAGGAGGAGGAGAAGGAGAAGGAGAAGGAGGAGAAGGAGGAGGAGAGGAAGAAGCAGAAGGGGAAGAGGAAGGCTGGTTGACATTCTTCACTAAAGTACAGCGACAGCACACAGCACAGCTAATCGAATGCGATGTGCTCCTCCCAGATGGCCTTGCCCAGCCTCTCCTGCAGGATCAAGTGGCTGCTGTAGGGCGGGAGGTACCTGCAGACACTCCAGTCAGCCCCTCCTCCCCCCGCACCTCGAGCCTCAGCCTTACAAGTAGTTGGCGCAAGTGCGGCAGGTTGGAAGTTTCCTGTCCCAGTCTTCCATGTCCTTGCGGGAGGTGACTTGGGGGTGAACGATGATCGGGTTCTCCTCAGGCGGCATGCAGACGGAAGCTGTGACGAACTTGATGAAGGCGCGACGCTGCGGCATGTCCATGGCCTGCGCGTGCAGATCAGGAGGAGTAGGAGGAGTAGGAGTTGTAGGAGGAGGAGCGGGAGGATGTGGACGAGGAGGAGGAGGATGAGGAGAAACGATGAGGCGGAGGAGGAGAAAGGAGGGAGAGGAGTAGGGAGACTCAGAGTGGTCATGGGGTTAGCAATGACGGGGGGATCGCGATGCTTCACCAGCATCTCCTTCCTTAGCCAGTTGATCTGCTCCTTGTCCTCGGGCCACATGGGCCCAGGCCTCACGATCTTCTCCAGCTTGATCTCATCCCACTGCAGGTCGCTCCACCTGTGAGGGGTCAGGAGGAGACTGCGAACCCTCCCCCCTCCCGCCCCCTGTAGCCCCCACCAACCTCCTCTACCAATACCACCACCTCCTCCTCTACCACCTCTACCACCACCACCTCCTCCTCTACCACCACCACCTCCTCTACAACCACCATCACCACCACAACCTGTATCTCCTCCTCTTCCTCCTTCACCACCTCCACCTCCACCTCCACCTCCTCCTCCTCCTCCTCCTCCTCCTCCCTTACAGTTTCTGCTGCATCTCCTCAGGGCTGAAGACTGACAGCATCCTCCAAGGGAACACACAGCTGATCCCTCGCCTCACAGCCTCCACCTGCTCCTCCACCCGCAGCATCGACAGGCTGCTCCTCAGCTCCTCCTCCGCGTACGCCTGAAGGTTCGCCACGGTCACCTGCCAGCCGTCAGAACACACGGGAGGAGGAGGAGCGGCGCGAGCTACCGCTGAACCGTCTGCAAACTCCAGGTACTGCACTCTCTCCTCGATCTCCTCCAGCGTCTTCAAGTCGCCCTTGTCCCGCGCATGCTCTGGTTTCGACAGCACCGCGATCGCCTCCTGAGCCCAGAACATAATCTTCTCAAGGCTCTGGAAGCGCATTTCATCCACTCCCTTCAGCTGCAGGTGAGCAGGCAGTCAGTCCAGCAGTCAGCAGTCAGCAAGGCGAGGCTCACATCGGAGACGTCGACCGCCTGGCCGATGAGGAGCTTGTAGAAGGGCTTTGCGAGACACAGCCCGGGCATCTGCCTCTGCTGGATGGCCTTGCCGATGAAGAGGCCGATGAACTCGAAGTTACTGAGCATGGAGCTTCGTCTCTCGTTGTCCGCCGGCAGCTGCTCGGGGAACAGCCCCTCCTTGTGCTTCGTCTCTCGTTGTCCGCCGGCAGCTGCTCGGGGAACAGCCCCTCCTTGTTCGCCGCCCCGACATCCCGCCACAGCTGGGTGAACTCTTCCTCCCCCTCCTGACCTTCGATGATCGCCGCTACCTTCTCGTAGAACTTCCGGGTGGGACCAGAGCCATGTCCAGCCTCCCCCCGCCACGTCACGTCCAGAACCGTCTCCTTGGAGGCGTGCGCGTGGAGGATCTCCTTTGCCCATTCGATGAGCCTCGGCTTGTCCTCGTGGCCCTCCCGTCGGTGGTCGATTTCGATCGTCTCGCGCTGTAGCTCGGGGACTTTCTCACTGATGATGCTGCGGGAGGCAATGAGGAGGCGGGGGCTGTCCTTGAAGGGGTTTGCCCGCATGAGCTCGATCCCCGTCGTCTCCAGGCTCATCGCGTCATGGTCGACATCTAGGGACAGCAGCGCCCGACACACTCCCAGCGCGCTGGCGTAGAAGAATCGCTCCCGGACTGAGAACGGAACGAGGGCGTGCAGGTTGCAGAGGCCGAAGAGCCAGGGGATCTTGGTAAGAATGCCGCTTCCTACCGTCAGGGGGTCGTCGAGCTGCTTGCGGATGTGCAGACCGATGGACTGGCTGGATAGGTGCTCGCGCAGCATGAGGAGCCTCTTGTGGTAGCGGTGGGTGAGGAGGTCGTAGAGCTTGATGCAGTGGACAAGCTTCGAGTCCTTGAGGAACTCAAACTTTCTCTTCTCCTTGTCCGCCTGCGACCCTGAGGAGGTTGAAGTGGTTGAGCTGACGTCATGTGCGCCCGAGCTGGAGTCGGCGTGTGCTGAGTCAGCAGCGTCCTCCTCCGCTAGACCAGCAGCTTCCCCTGCCTTGGCAGCGTTCACCTCCTCCCCTTCACCGATGTCACGACTGTATCTGATAGTGAAGGTCTTCTCCCAGAATTTGTTCGGGTGGACGAAATGGGGCCTGTGGCTGTTTCGCCCCTGCCTTGTCTCCACGCTGCTTCTCTTGTCTTGCAAGGCTGCTTCCTCCTTCAGTGCTGACAAGCGGGTTATGGCCTCGAACAAGGTTTGCTCGTCCTCGAGGTCCACGGCAACACAACTCTGAGCCTGGGACGCCTCGGTGGCGCTCTTGCCCTTTGCCGCATCCTTCTCCTTCGCAGCACCAGGGGCCTTCCGTTCCATGGCCCTCTCCATCGTCGGGACCCTGTCCTCCGACGAATCGTCCGACGTCATTTGACCGATGGAGTCAGATTCTAGCTGGAGGAAGTCGATGAACGGTCTGTACCCATACCTTCCTTCCTTCCCTGGGATGATCTGCAGCTTCAGCGGGGGAGGCTCGAAGTCGCTGCCAGCAGCCGTTTGGCTGGTGGGCTGGTAACGGGGCTGAGAAGAACAGGCTGCCATGAACGCTTGGGTATCTCCACCTTCAAACATCTCCTCGTCCTCGTAGTCCTCGTCCTCCATGTCGCCTCTGTGCCTGCCGAACAAGTCGACCACGTTCTGCTCCTCCACGGGGTTCTGATCGACCTCGTTCTGGTTTAAGTTGATCCTCAGCGTTCTCTTCGCGCTCCCCCGGCTCGGCGTCTCCTTGTGCCAGGTGTTGAGCTCCGGGAGAGCTTCGAAGGACCTCTGTAGAGCTGGGCACATGCTGAGAGCCCGGCTCTCGCACTCAGCGAGGCTGCGCATGCGTTGAATGAGGAAGTGAGGGGTAGACTCGCTGTCATGGGCAAAGTTCTGCATAACAAACCGAACATCTCGTTGACTGGCTGCATCGTCGTTGCTCTTGTTCTTGGACGTCTTCATCAGGTTGATCAACTTCGCTCGCACGTCCGAGTTCAAGCACAAGGGCTCAGCCCGTAGCTCCACGCTGGAGAGATCCGGCAGGTCCTCGTCGGCCTTGGCCTTCTCGAAGCGCAGGAGGACCTTCTGCCTGAGGCATCGATAGCCCAGGTGGAAGAAGTCCGACTCGGGGATGACCAACGGCAGCAGTTGGGAGGACTCCATGGGCAGCTTATCACACGCTTGCCGAAGGAGCTGAACCAGGTTCGAGAGGAGCTCCGAATCGTCGAAGAGATCGCCAGGCTCGTCGATCTCGAAGATGGGATCAACGAAGGCTGCTGTGTTGGTAGCCAGGACTTCAAGGTACTCAGTCAGGAGGAGTGGGACGTCGGAGTTCATGAGCTCTTCCACGTAGACTCCGTCGTTGTTTTGCAGCAGCTGCTTCAGTTTCCAGCGAAGCTCTCGCTCCACCTCGTGCCTCGGCATCGTGGAGACAGACGAGCACTTGGAAGCATCGATGTGACTCCTCAGGAGGCCCGAGATCTCAGTCAACCTTGCCTTGACATGCTCGCAACACTTGCTGGTCTGCTCCATGCTGTCGCCCTCGAAGTACTGCGAGATGATGAACTTGGAGGCATTCTGGATGAGGTCAGAGTTTGTAGCCATCGGGGCCTGCACGTTGCCACCCAGGGGGCTCTTGTCCAACTGCGCCACCTTCCGCACTCTTGCTACCGCACCACAGCGAGTGATGGGCTCCTTGAAGACTTCGGGAGCATGCCTCATGATCGTGTCCATACATATAAGGGCTGAGATGTAGTTGGGCTGGTTCTTCCCATTGAGTCTGTTACGAAAGTCGCTCTTGTGCGACGACAGTTCACTCTCGTAGGTGCTCATGTCAATCAGCGAGATCAAGTTCTCCATGCCATTCATCAGAGCAGCTTTCGAGCAGTAAGGAAGAACTTTGGATAGGATGTACATCATATGCCGTTTGGTAGCAGTCTGGCCCTTTCCACTCTTCCCTTCAATAGGCTTCTTCAGCGCGTCCAGCAGGACCCGGCAGATATGCTCTGAGAAAGGAACTTGCAACTCAGGGTGTGAATCTGTGCAGGCGGTCTTCCTCTGAGTGAAGGACTCCTGAATGTCAGCATCTGACATGATGGTGTTGTATATGGAGACATGAGAGATCGACCCCAAGAACCCCGAGCATCGCTCTCCTTCCAAGTTCTCAGGGCACAGCCCTACCAAGATGTCGCCCTCGGGGTTGACCCGCACGCTCTCGGTGGGTTTCAGCTGAACGGACGACCTGAGAAATCCATCCACGAACAACCTGATCGACTTCGCCTTGGCGCAGTACACACAAGTCACCTCACACCACCTGCCAGTGTAGATTGAGATGTTTGCGTTGGCTGCAGGCTCACTGCAGAGTCCGGGGCCACATCGTAAGTATCCGTGAGACAAGAAGACCCCAAAGCCCTGCGCATTCCTTCTCGCTTCCCTGCCCTTGCCCTTTACTCCGAATGACAGCAAGCAAACTTTGGTGGGCGAGCTACAACAGACCTCCGCTGGTTTGAAACGGATCCTTACAGTGAACGAGCTGCTGTCAAAGTTCGACGGCATGGGGAAACGAAACCCAGGATTGTTCCTTCCAAAATTTCGTTGCCCCCCATCTTTCATGAAAACGAATTCTCGTTTTGCAGGGGATGACAGTTCAGACTCGAACATCTTGATAAGCTGGCACTGACGGGAGTAGAGGTCCGAAAACGAGTCGTGCTGCATGCTCTGAATACTTTGATACAGAGTTTCAATCGCATCGAGACCCTCTGAGTCCTGCCAAGACGAGTGATCAAGAGAACATCAATGCATATTCCGCCCGTTACCTTGAGAGCTGTGTTTGCTCCTTGAGACAACATCCAATCAACAATGTCCTTGCGACCTCGCTCAGTTGCCACGTTCAACGGAAGTTTTCCGTCTATCAAGGTGTTGAGATCCAGGCTGAGCTCAGTCATGATGGTCTGCAATATCTAGAAAAGGGAAAGTCATTTTCAGCAAACGCATGCACAAGCTGCAGAGGAAACAAGAACAGGAAAGGCAGACACCTGGACGTCTCTCTCGTCTGACATGCCTTCTTCTACAGCAGACAGATAATGCAGGAAGGATGAAGCGGTCAACCTGCGGATAATTAATCTTGAAGACGGCATGGTCCTTCTAAGATTTTGACTGGTTGCTTACTTCTTGTCTTGACTTTCACCATTTAAACGTATGACTTGTTCAAGGCCTTCAGCATCTTTCTGTTGCAACGCATAGGCCAAGGCATTGCTGTGAACTGGCTGCACATCGTATGCCTCTTCTGCACCCCATCTATACCTGAGGATGCATCACACCAGAGCCCTCCAATCATGCAAATGTCATACCCATTCCGACCACCAGCATCCCACTGCACACGAATCCAACCTTCTGCGCCCTTCTCCGTACCGCTGATGACAACACCTTCGCACCCTTGTCCACCATCTTGATCACCCCACTTCCAATCCTGACCCCTTCGAACTCGGGTCCCAGACAGCTGGAAATCACAGGTCAGGAGGCATCAGCAACAGCAAGACTTCAGTACAAGCTCTCTAACAGCCGCATCGGATGCTCGGCTTCCGGCACCAGAAGCCCCCTCTCCAAAGGCTTCATCAATAAAAAAATGTCTCCTCCTCATCCTTGGTCCATCATGCCTCGCAAGCTTTGTCCTCTGGAGTCTGTTCATTGCAAGTACATGTCATTACAAGCCGAAGAACCATGCACACTGAGACATGACACCGAGGCACTCTTGAAGATAAGATGGACTGACAGATCAACAACAGAGAGCGCACATACCTATGCATTCTGATTTCAAATTCAGCTCTTCTTTCTTGCAATTCCGCGAAAGATCTGCATGAAGTGGAACATGAGAGCTTGCCTCAAACTAGATTGATTCATCCACCTGTGCGGAATTTCATCATCATCAAAATCAAAGCCTTCTTTTATTTCTGAGTCATCCATGTTGTCATCTGAAGTATCGATGATCCCTTTGGACAAGTCTATTTCTCTGAATCTTGATGCATCTTTGTAAATCTTGGCATGTCCTTCCGTGATGCACCCTAGCAGGTCATCGACAAGAGACAGGATCCCCGTCATCCTTATCTGCGAGTAGGAGAAAATCAAGGAATTCAGATACAAAGGAGAACTAACTAGCTTGCAGACCTGCTTGCCATCTCCGTTCAAAGCAGTTTCTATAAACTCCAGTATCTTTGTTGGCACAGCGCTGTGCGAGGTGTGGCTTTCATCGACTAATCGTCTCAGAAGCTCACCAGGAAGTCAGCAAGCAACAACATGCACAGTGATGGGGTTCTACCTGATGTGAAAGGAGGCACATGGTGGACACAAGTCGAACTGCTAGACCAAATATCTTGGAGTGCTGGCAAGTTGCCAAGAGGTTCAAAAGTGCCGACAAGACTGATCCTCCCTCTGGTACGAAGCTGTCGAATACCATGCTGCGATTGCTTCGAGGAACAAGTATCAGATAGTTCAACATCAAGAATGTCTACCTTGGAGAAAGCTTGTCCAACGAGCGAAGAAATGCAGAGTACACAGTCAAGACCCCTTCAACCAAAGTTGGGTCGTTCCTCGACAACAGATGTCCAAGATCTTGTAGCGCTTTCGCGATCTCAAGGTAACACTTCAAGTCTGAAGATTTGATCGAGGACACGAAAAGGGGAAGTGAGCGTATGGCTGGATGCAGAGCCACTGGCGTAAGCTTTCCGCTAGCTCCAGGGAGCCCGGCGTTACCCTGAGCACAATTTTTCACAAACTTGCAAGATGTAAAGTTGGGAATCTTACCTGTGAGATGCTCACAAGACCATCGAACTCTCTGACAAACCCCAAAATACAATTAACCCCTTGAAGTCTAGTGATGGTATCCAATTTCGATGAGATCTGAATTGAAGTGTCAGAGTGACTGAGCGACTGGTGACATCCACCACACACCGCTTGAGTGCATAACTTCTCAAGAATCGCAAAGGTCTCTTTGACAAGTTCGCACACTAGGCTGTTCTTGTAGGACTCCTGGTTAAGGTTCGCAATTCGTGAAAGCTGGAATCACTGAGTCATAGTCCTGCACGAAACAGAACAAGCTGGTTCACCAGCTTTGGAAGGATCGGGCCTGTCTCCTTGGACATTCTATATCTGTCGCGATCGCGATCTTCCGCCATGGGAGGGCACTCGTCCAAACCACGATTCAAGAAGCACAGAGCTTGGTAAGGCACAGCGAACGAATCGCAGAACCTGCATCGCTCGGCGTGAATACTTGCAAGAGGGAGAAAGAGAGCAACTCTCACGGCAGGTCATCGGCAGCCAGTCTCCGTATATCATCAAGGAGCGGCAGAAAGTTCGACTTGAGAGCACCTTTAAATCCTCTGCCGCGTTTCGCACTTTCATTCTGTAATGAGATCTCACACGCTCAAGTCTGCCGCATAATGACTTGTGCGCTTCATACCTGCCAGCCCCAGTATTGATCTCCCAGATCGCGGAAGTAGTCGAGCAGTCGTTGTTGCTTCGCTTCATTGGAGTCATCGGACGAGAAATCCGTTTTATTGTCGGGCTCTGCTTCTTGCGGGCTGGTGAGGATGAGCAAGGCAGCGAAGTCATCGTTGTTCGTCTTCTTGAGAGCCGCCTGTTGAGCATGATTTCTCAGCGTCCCGAAGGAGAGCTCACGGATGAGGATACCTTTGCAGCCTCTCTCTCGAAGCCTTGCTGCACCAGCTGCCTCAGCAGCCCTTCTTGTACCCGAACATCGTTCTCTTGTCCCCCCTTCCATACTTCACCCTTCACGAGTGTCTGCAGTCTCTGCAGCCACATCTATCGCTTGACAGCCTGCCAGTGCTGATTCAAGCGCGGGTGCAGATTTCCTGAAAAGGGATCGATCAGAAAGATGCAAGAACAGCGAAATGTCAGTCAGAATACTGCATACTGTTGAAAAAACTGAAAGCCGATGTAAAAACACCTCTTTCAGCTGACACTAGCTCGTCAATCTCACAACACGCATACTCTAGATCATATTTAGTCGGCAGAATTGATTGCACAGGGTTGCAACGCAACCCTCTCAACCGTGACAAGACAACTCGTGAAAACTCGCGATGCCGTGTCACCGCAACCAGCACATCGCCGCATCTACATGACAGCGCTGATCCTGCTCCCATCACATCATCTTTGTCTTCTCAAACTGAGCATGATCAAGGCCTACATCCGCCACGGCCTTACACAGCCGTTCCCTGACAACCTGACAAGTTTCAGCTTTGTTCCTAGTGAACGACTCCCCATCTGCTCTCATTCTCGTATGCTGCTTCTCTCTTGTTCAATAGCTCCTGTCTCCTTCGTTCGACATCATCATCGTCGTCTTCTCCTCCCTTCTCATCTTCTCCCTGCTCCTGCTCCTGCTCCTGCTCCTGCTCCTCTTCCCCTCGTCTCCTCCGTGCATCACAGCGCAAAGCTGCCATAGGGAGACTCCCCTGCACCCCACCCCTACCCCACCAGAACCCCCCTTTGGTGGAGTATTATTACCTTATTAGGGTACCCAACCCCACAATTTTCCAGCATTTATTGACCCTACCCCTACTTTACTATCAAATGTACCCCATAAATCTACAGTCATTTATTATTTGATTCTACCCCTACCCTCTATTCTCTCCTCCTCACCCTGGTTCGTCCTCCCATGAACCTACCCTACCCCCTCCGTGTTAAAACCCTAGACCAGGTTTGCGAACATGTACCCCCTTATTCCCTTTTATGTACCCCACCATTCCCTTCCACCCACCTCTCCTCAGTGATCTGTTTTTACTACCTACCCCATCTGCACCCTGATGTGCCACCCCACCCCATCATGGCCCTGCAACACCCAGGAATTTGATCTGGACTACCCCTCCATAGAACACCGTTTGTACCCTCCTTTGACCAATGACCCTGGGGAAACAAGTCCCCCCCTCCAACCCACCCCTTTCGGTCCAGAAGACTCAACTGACCCCACCAGGTAATCTTGTAGACCATGACCCTAGCTCTCAAAACTTCTAAAAGTACCCCCTCAGAGTCCTCTTTATGTACCCCTAATGACACTACCCCCACCCCCCAGCGATCCCATTAATGTGCTCCTATGCGGACTACTTTTGAAGATCGGACGAATATACCCTGGGGTAGGGGTAGAAATTTAGTACCGGTACTAAAGTATCAATTTATGGGTTTAGAGATAGGGTAGGGGTAACATTTTAGGGGGTATATCCGATAGGGGGTTGTGTCCAACAAAATCTGAAATCACGAATCAAGGGGGTACTTTATTGGCTCGAAAGGAGGGGTGGAGAGACTTGTAGGTAGGGAGGGGTTAAAAAACACTTGGAAACAGGGGTACAGGTTTTATTGTAGACACTACGGGTGATTTTCCCTAAAGAACAGGGTGATTGTGTGAGGAGGGGGTAATCGGGGTTTATTGGGATCTTTTTCATGCCGGGGTGAGTTTGGACAGCGAGCGGGAGAGAGGGAGGAGGAGGAGGAGGAGGAGGAGGAGGAGGGAGGGGGGGAGAAGAGGAAGAAGTGGAGGGGGAGGGGGAAGAGGAGGTGGATCAGGAGGAGGAGCAGGAGGAGGAGCAGGAGGATCAAGAGGATCAGGAGGAGGATCAGGAGGAGGAGCAGGAGGAGCAGGAGGAGCGGGAGGAGCAGGAGGAGCAGGAGCAGGAGCAGGAGCAGGAGCAGGAGTAGGAGGGAGGGAGGTAAGGAAGTAGGTGAGTGTACGGAGAGAATGTGGAGAGCACGCTTTGTGATGGTTTCGATCACGAATGATCGTGGACGGAGCATTGCTTCTATTCCGTGATAGTCGAAACATGCACCCGAGAAGGAGGAGAAGAAGCAAGGACGATGAGTCATGATGTGATTGAGGAAATATATCCTGTCTTGCAGGAAAATCACAACGAGTTTCTTGAATTGTGGGAAAGAGTAACATGCAGTTCAGGTGCACGCAATGTACGCAGCAAAGAGCAGTTGTGAGGGAGGTCCGAGAAGATAGAAACCCTGAAACAAACACAAGGAACAGTCTTCCTGCGTAAAAGAGGGCCTCAAGATGAAAACACACGTCGTCCTCCTGATCATCATGGCGCAATCCTTTGTTGTCGGGGAGGGATACAGCCCAAAGATGGCAGATACTGAGGTCTGAAATCATTGAGCGTGCTGTTCCCTCCTGACTTCCTTGATGAAGGGCTCACTTGTGTGCTGTGGAGGCTCGCGATCTGCTGATGCAGCCAGTCGTCGAAGGGGCCCCTCCTTCCAGAAGCTGAGAGTCCTTGGAAGCGTTGAGGAAGGTGAAGGGGAACGAGCCACAATCGATCTTGTGCGAGGAAGGGGTGCAAAGATCCTCATGAGAGTCTCAGGCGACGTCTGGAGGGATCGGAGGATCGCTTGCGGCGCTTCTGCCGAGGGTTTACTTCGGATAAGAGGGGGAAAGCGGCAGAGGGGGCTAGACCAAGAGCAAAGCAGCATGGTGGATACAGTCAGCCCACGTCGAGAAAGGAGGAGCGCGAGGTAGACGTGTGTTTATGATGAACGTGTGCGGTGCGGAGGTCGATGCCTGAAGTGTTCCTTGCCAGGGACTCTAGCACAACCGTGAGGACTGAGTCTGAACTGGAAGAGCTCCCGCAATCAGGAGTGGAGGACATGGAGGGGTCGGGGTCTCTATCGCAGCCTTCGTCGGAGCTGAAGGCGAGGGTTGACGACAATCTGAAGCATCTGCTCAAGGCAAACCGCTTCCATGCATGTGCCCACCCTGCTGACCGCTGACTCGTCCCCGCAGGAAACGTCGGAGGAGCCTGCTGACTCTGAGGATATCCAAAGTATGCTGAGTCACAAAGGGCTGAAGAACATCTCTGCGCTGGAGAACTTCGTCGCACAAGCACAGATTGATCAAGACAAGCTGAACGAGCTTGAAGCGGAGTATGCCAAGTTAGAAGAGGCAGAGAAGCAGCAGATACAGAGGTGCGGATTATGAAGAAACGTCGGTCCCTGCTGACACCAACTTTCGTTGCCTGGTCCAACAGACCACAGAAGAGCAAGTTATACTTCCGTGAGAGCGACAGTACCACGGAGATGTTCGACAAGGCTGAGCGACTTCATGACATGATCCTTGCGGGTGAACCTGGAGGCGGCGAAAACGTCAGCGACTTTTCTATCAGCGAGTCGACGAGGTCGACAATGAGCAGGTACTCTCAGTGCTCTGTGTGCTCAGAGGTGCCGCAGCTCCTATGAGAAGGATGGCGTCAGAGTGCACGCGTACGACCGATCGATGCACAAGCTGAGCAAGATTCAGGTCTGATCAAGGGGAGGTGGCGTGACTTCCAGCTGACGCTTGTGTGGCCGTCAGAAACTGATCGACTATCTCATCGGGCTTCAGGAGAAGGTGGAGCCAGACACGGAGGACTTCCATCCCAAGATCCCTCAGCTGAAGGAGCTGAAGAGTTTTCTCCAAGAAGCCATGACCAAAGACATCGTGAGATTGACGACGCGAACCTTGCTCGTTGCTAGATGCTCCATGCTTCTCAGCTTGCCCTGCAATATGCCCATGTTGCTTCTTGAATCGCCTGCTCACTTCGTCCGTGGCAGAGCTTCCTTCACGACCCCCCCACCGATGCGCTTGACATGCTGAAAAAGAAGCCCCAGCACCCGCAGGAGGTTTCTCCTCCTTCCCCGTAGGCAAGCTGAGACCGTGACCAGGAGCAGCAGTTGTCAGAAGTAGATCATCTGCGCATATCGCACAAGTATGTCAAGGTGATACCGTCTTTCTCCCCATGGCTCGAGTGAGCTTGCCCGAAGAAACATCCCCTGGATATCCTCCTCATGAGCACCGCCAAGTTGGGACGAGTCAAGATGCTGAAAAGACTCGTCGAGCTCGGAGCTGACGTCAAGGTGCTGTTTGCTCTCACTCCCCTGTTGTTGGAAGCATCCTGTGTTGCTGCTGCTATCGTGACGACGACGACGACGACGACGACGACGACGATGTAGTTGTAGATGATGATGATGATGATGATGATGATGATGATGATGATGGAGATGTTGATGGAGATGTTGATTGCAACGACTACGACTACGACGGTGATTATGATTGTGATGCAGGCCCACAACCCACTGATGGGCAACTGGACTGCCCTGCACTCAGCTGCCGCCGAGGGGCATGACCGAGCCGGTCAGCGGTGAACCTCGTCCGTTGACGTCATGACCCTCCTGGTAGTCACGTTCCTCCTCGAGGCCGGCGCCGACCCCAACTTCAAGGAAGCATGTAGGACGCTTGCTGGATCGTTGCCGTCTATGTCGCCTCAGCTGAGATCCTGCTGCAGGCAGAGGGTTCACGGCGCTGCACTGCGCAGCATGCTTCGGGTTTGTGGATACGGTGGAGGTGAGAAGGGAGTGGAAGGGGTGGGAGGGTGGGGGAGGAGGAGGAGGAGAAGTGAAATGACGATCCTTGCTGTAGGCCCTCGCGGCAAATGGCGCAAACGTGAATGAAAGGTCGAGCTGGGAGGGAGGGAGGGAGGGAGGGGGACGGAGGGGACGGAGGCGATGGATAGAGGGAGGGAGGGAGGGAGGGAGGGAGGGAGGGAGGGAGGGAGGGCAGGGAGGGAGGGA